CCAGCTGTGAAGTGTGGAAGTGATTAACTTCAGTGTTTTGTGCTCCAGCTTTATGCAGTCTTAACATGTGGGCAAATCTACAGCACTGACAGTTCCTTGTTTTTCTTCCTACACAGCTGTATCGTCTGAATGAACTTGCATTGTGATTGGCCTGTAGAGTTGCTGAGAGGGCTCGAGGGGTGGGCTAGTATCTCAGAAAGTGCCTGACACACTAACCAAGCTGAGTTTCCTATGGGAACAATTGAAGTAAACTTTTTGTTCTGGTCCTTTTTGGTCGAGGAGTAATAATACAAATGGATTTTGGGAGTGACTCAGAAATGAAGAATGCACAAGAAAGAATCAAGATGGAATTTATCAAACCTTAGCCTTGCTTGTTAAATTTTTTTTTTAACCTCTGTAATGGTACTGACCTTGCTTGCTTTGAAAGTAGACTTTTCTTTTTGCTGTAACTGGTAGGGTTTTTTTAAGTCTCTTGTAGTGTTAAGTTATAGTGAATATGCTACAGCAGTTTCTAACTTTTAAGGATCGAGTAATGGTGTAGAACACTAATTCATAATCACTAATTGTATTCTGAATAAAGTGTAACATTGTGTAGCCTTTTTGTATAAAATAGAGAAATAGAAATGGTCCAATTAGTTTCCTTTTTAATATGCTTAAAATAAGCAGGTGGATCTATTTCATGTTTTTGATCAAAAACTTTATCTGGGATGTGTCTGGGTAGGGGCCAGTAAGAACTGTTTATTTGGAACCTTGTAGTGGACAGTTTACCAGTTGCCTTTTATCCCAAAGTTATTGTAGCCTGCTGTGATACAGATGCTTCATGAGCAAAAGCAGTTATAAAATGGTTAAGAATTAAAGTAAACTTTTAATTCACTCAGCTGTCTCAATTTATTTGAAATAGGAAATACATAGTTTTGTAGGGGGGGGGAAATCATGCGGATATAAGCTAACTTGATGCAGCAATTTGACTATTTTGCATAGTAAGGGTAGCATGGCATAAATCAGTCAAAAATAAAGCAACTTCTAAACGGAGCAGACTGTTGAGGAAACCTGTGTTGCTGACCAAATCAGAGATTTTTAGGAGAATTAGTATAGGGTGACTACGCAAACCGTTGCAGTACTCCCCATAGAGGTTTTTAACTTACCACTGCACCATTACATGAAATCTTGATACCTGTATATACAGGTATCAACACTGAACACCAGCATCAGACCTGAAACAAGTATCCAATCACCTCTGGCTTTAGTGTGTTCATGGTGTGGTGTTTTTTTTTTTTTTTTTAAATTGCTTTGCCCTGGCAAATGGAATCTGCAATTCATATGCTGTGTGTTACAATGGCACAATGCTGCTAAATGAACTGAGCCAGCATTCATGGCCTAAACTTAAGGACCAGCCCCACAAACATTTGGTCTGTGACCAAAAGCTGGCTTTGCCACTTTTGCACTGTTTTCAGAGAAATATAGACTGCCTAAACCAAGCAGCAAGTATCCTCTAAGAGGGATATTAAGAGTTTTTTGCCTACAACATTATTACTGAATGCTAGAGCATGAGTGCTCTCCTTCAAGGGAAGAGATGTGTCCTAATTATACCTCTGCCTTGATCTGAATTTAGATATTTGCTTCCCCTTATGGTGGATAACTTAAATCTAACAAACTTTAACTTTTCTATGTAAAATTTTTCAAACAAAAAGGGTGAGTTAAAACACCTTTTTTGGAATATTTTCATAGCAGCTGCATCAGACTGTGAGAATTGCCACAATAGCAAAGGATGCAATCAGGCACCACTCCTAGCTACAGTACATACATGAGGACAACCCCCTCCCCTATGTATGTACTTGTTACATTTTTCCCTTCCCATTGTGGAGTCAGCAAAATGACAAATACCCTCCTAACTTTCTGTAGCTTGAGCAAGATGGATCAGATCTTACTCTGACAAATGGGTTTATGAACACAGCTGCTAGGCTCTTACTGTTCATTAAGGGGGTGCATACTCCCCTACAAGTGCATTAAGTGTAAACTGCTGAACACTCTACTCTTTTTTGCTTTAATTAAAGCTAGAGCTGTACTTGTAGTAAGCTGGCTTTTGATTAGATGGGTACAGTTAATTACTAGCTACTAGGAACACACTTCTCCCAGAGCCATGGATGGAAATACACATTTACTAGTCAGCAGTAATATGTGTAACATACTGCAAAATGACAAGGGGGCTAGCAATCCCATAGCTTAGGGCCAAGTCTAAGCTAAGGGGTTTGCATGGTCTGCCATTGACCTAAACTGAGGGATGGTTTAAAAAAAAAAAAATCTTAGCTTTAGAAAGGAATATCAACATTTTTCAGGGGTAACATATCAAGGATGTGTTACACAAAGGGGATGTTTGTGGCCACTTCCTGTGTAAGTTTAGCTCTTTAACACAACCTATGAAGGCATTCACTGTCAAAGGAACAAGCTTTTAAGTCCTTGTCAGACAAGAGGGCAGCTGTCACTTACTGGTAGGTTGAGATATATAATTTATCCACTGTCAGGAAAGGGACACAATAGTAGGCAGACCTGCTGATGGAATGCTGGTGTTGCAGCCACTTAGGACTATTTTGAAAAGATTTCCTCCAGTTGACTGCAATTAAATATGGAGGCTGGCAACTTACTTTTAAGCAGGGATAAAACATTAGACAATTTACTAAAGAATGTTACTACCTATTACCCCCTGCAGGGGGTCAGGATATGCTTCAGTGTCACAATTTCTCCAATGCCTGGTAACTACAGCTCCCCTGAGGGTGGTAAGCCAGCCTCTGTGGTATAGAATATCAGGGTGGGAAGGGACCTCAGGAGGTCAACTAGTCCAACCGCCTGCTCAAAGCAGGACCTAATCCCAGCTAGGGCTTTGTCAAGCCTGCCTGTAAAAAACCTCTAAGGAAGGAGATGCTAAAGGTGTATTTAAAAAAAAAAAAAAATAGTAGGGGTCAACTAGCATTTAAGGTTGCATGAGGACCTGCTCCAAAACTACAAAAATAAGGGAAGGAATATAGGAATCTAACCCCTTATTACCTACAACACTGTTGCTAATATACTCCATAAGACATCTCTTGCCAGCTCCCAATACCAATTTACACGTGTTGTTTCCCAACAGTATGTGGCTTTTTTATATATCCTTTATAGAAGATGAGCACACAGGACTATAACATCCCCCATGAACTGACACTGATTCTGCCTTCACCGTGCTGAGGTTACTGCTTAATGCAAAAACCTTGATGCCGTATCTGTTCAAGAGGGTGTGGTACATCCATAGAATTATAGGTTTCCACTTTGAAACTGCCTATGTCCAAGCTTTTACAGTTTTGGCTGTGTGCAGTGATGCAACCTTAACTGTCACTATTGTTGGGTTGTTTTTAACAAAACAGGCTGCTTCCTCTCAATTAGACTGTTTTTTAAAACAGTAGAACATATTTAAGATAACACACCCTAACAGCAGTTTCAATCTTACCTGTAGCTGGGAGCATCTAGTGCAGGCTTCAGCAATAAAACAACTCAATTTGATTCGGAGATGTAAAAAGCCATTCCTTTGAGCCCTAGCTTGCAATCACCACCTTGACAACACACTTGAGCCTGCAGAGACCACAAACCTGAGCCCAGTGCACATTAAGTTCTATAGAATCTTTTAATACCCATCTAAAATAGCATAGGTTAAAAAAACCCTAGTGCAACTGATTTACTAGGGAAATCAGCATTAAATAGAGGAGCTGCCCAGTGAAACATAAGTACCTAACAAATCAATTTTTCAAATGCTAGGCATTTAATGCAACCTATACATACCTGTCATTTAGAACACAAAACTGGGCTTAAAATGTTCTTTCACTAGCTTAAGGATACCCCTGTAAGTCACTGAGGGAGGCATTGGGAATGGCAATGTCCTTTAATATAGACCAATGAAGCAGTATGGCTAGCTATTCTGTCAATAGTCACCATGTACCTTTGAAGAAGGACTTTGTCACTTAACTAGACTAAAAACAAATTAGTGACTTATCATGCAATATTCTTAATTGTTCCTGCCATTGTAAACAAGATATTGTTAATTAAAAAGAAGTGATTTCAATGTGTATGGTGTGATACTTGTTCTGTTAGCACTGATCTTTCCATGTCCAACTCGTTAGAGAATTTCAAAGCCCAAGCAACAATATCATATGGGAACTGCTAATGAAAAGTAAAAATTATTACTATCAAGCTTCAATGTCTCATCTAAATTCAGTAGCTTGCCTGCAAAAGTAAAGCAGTAGGAAAATGTCAGAGTAGGCATTTAACCCTCCTGTGAAATTAATGCTAAATTTGTAATTGGTTACAATCACTACTGTAGCAAATGTGTCAAAACGAGCACAACTTTGTGGAAGAATGAAGTAGAAGAGTGAGGGAGAACATTCAAACAAATCTACCACAGGTAGCTTGGTCTGTCTCAGTTTGAAATTTTTTAATTAATATGTTCTTTATAGTCAAAACAGAATCTGGAATATACTGAAGTATATCAAAATAGTTTAAGAAAAGTGCCACAAGTTGACTTGTGTATAGAGCAATTATTAACCAGAAATCACTGCAATATAGAAGTGCAAAGTCATTTATTGTACCCTTTTAACCAGAACACTGTACTGTATTTGGTTTTGCAAATTGTCTTTAAACTACATGACTAGGTGCCAGAAGATTTGGGTTCTGTTCCTGGCTCCAGCCCAGACTTTCTGTGGGACATTTGGAAATCAGTCACTCCCTGTGCTCATTTTCCATCTGTAAATGGGGATGATACCAACTCCCTGCAGTGTTTTCAGATTGAGTCATTAACATTTGCAAAGCAAGTCAGAAATCTTTACATGTGCAAAAGTATTCTACAGTTTGTTATAGGTGATGTTTCAAATGAGGATGATCAGCTAAGGCATTCTACTTCTGATCAAAAACTTGGAAAATATACCACAATTTAGGTGGAATGAAAAATGCTTCTCCCTTAAACATATCTGTGAAAGAAATGGAATTTTTCTAATTTATGTTCTTCAGTACATGGCTGTAGGACACTTAAAAAATCCCTTCAAAAACCGTAGGTTGTGCTAATTTAAGCAAGATAATGGACAAATGCGCATTCTTTTAAAAGCAAGTTTTCCCCACTTTTTCCCTATTCTTATACAGATAAGTAAGTGAATACGTACACACACACATTAGATTTCTTACCAAATTCGTACTACAACACTCATTCATAAATATCCTAAAACAAGACTGAGGAATTCACCATGCCAGTGTTTTGTGCATTCAGTCAGGACTGTGGAGTGATGATTGATCTGGTAGCCTTGATCTTTTAGCGTCCAACTGTTCTAAGAATTTCAAAAGCCAAGGAAGCAACAGCAATATCCGCATGGGAGCTGGGAAAGAAGAAAACAAAGATAGTAATCTTCAAGGTAAAACACCTCATCTAAATTCTGTAGTTGTCCTACACATGAGACTTTCACTTGTGCTGGAAAGTGCCTGATGAGGGAATCCACTTTGGATAACTCCTGTGTAAACCAATTTTCTGTTAGAATACTATGGATATTTCAACATGTAGCAAGTCATGCGTATCAGTGTGATCCCTTGAGTTCATGTTTACAGAACTGCTTGCTTGGTGCCCTGCTAAGTCTCACTCTGAAAAATGGAAGATGTAATTATTACATTTTCTTCAATAGTTTGGTGGAAAAATGCCTCAAATTTTTGTCGTCTTTTCACATGCACATTCCTTGTGGGGTAGAGTCTGTCTGTCAGCACATGGAGGCAGCTCTGCTGAAGCATTCTTTTAACCTGCTACAGGAAAGGCAGAATTGTTCTTGCTGTACATAGTGCTGACTTTTCAGACCCAGTTCACTGCCTCCATCAGTGCGTGCAGTGGTTTGCTACCTCTCTTGTCTGCTAATAGTCTTCCAACCTGTGATTGGGTGTTCACCCCACACAAAGCACTGCTGGCCTAGTGAAACAGTTACTGCAACTATGGGCTACCTTGACCTTAGAACATAAGAACGGCCATACTGGGTCAGACCAAAGGTCCATCTAGCCCAGTATCCTGTCTTCCGACAGAGGTCAATGCCAGGTGCTTCAGAGGGAATGAACAGAAGAGGTAATCATCAAGTGATCCATCCCATCGCCCATTCCCAGCTTCTGGCAAACAGGCTAGGGACACCATCCCTGTCCGTCCTGGGTAATAGCCATTGATGGACCTATTCATGAATTTATCTAGTTCTTTTTTGAACCCTGTTACAGTCTTGGCCTTCACAACATCCCCTGGCAAAGAGTTCCACAGGTTCACTGCGTTGTGTGAAAAAATACTTCCTTTTGTTTGTTTTAAACCTGCTGCCTATTAATTTCACTTGGTGCCCCCTAGTTCTTGTGTTATGAGGAGTAAATAACACTTCCTTATTTACTTTCTCCACATCAGTCATGATTTTATAGACCTCTATCACATCCCCCCTTAGTTGTCTCTTTTCCAAGCTGAAAAGTCCCAGTCTTATTAATCTTTCCTCATATGGCAGCCATTCCATATCCCTAATCATTTTTGTTGCCCTTTTCTGAACATTTTCCAATTCCAATATATCTTTTTTGTGATGGGGCGACCACATCTGCACGCAGTATTCAAGATGTGGGTGTACCATGGATTTATATAGAGGCAATATGATATTTTCTGTCTTTTTATCTATCCCTTTCTTAATGATTCCCAACATTGTTAGCTTTTTTGACTGCTGCTGCACATTGAGTGGATGTTTTCAGAGAACTATCCACAATGACTCCAAGATCTCTTTCTTGAGTGGTAACAGCCAATTTAGACCCCATCATTTTATATGTATAGTTGAGATTATGTTTTCCAATGTGCATTACTTTGCATTTATCAACACTGAATTTCATCTGCCATGTTGCCCAGTCACCCAGTTTTGAGAGATCCTTTTGTAACTCTTTGCAGTCTGCCTGGGACTTAGCTATCTTGAGCAATTTTGTATTATCTGCAACTTTTGCCACCTTTTCCAGATCATTTATGAATATATTGAATAGGACTGGGCCTAGTGCAGACCCCTAGGGGACACCACTATTTACCTCTCTCCATTCTGAAAACTGACCATTTATTCCTACCCTTTGTTTCCTATCTTTTAACCAGTTACCGATCGATGAGAGGACCTTCCCTCTTATCCCATAACAGCTTACTTTGCTTAAGAGCCTTTGATGAGGGACCTTGTCAAAGGCCTTCTGAAAATCTAAGTACACTATATCCACTGGATCACCCTGGTCCACATGCTTGTTGACCCCCTCAAAGAGTTCTAGTAGATTGGTGAGGCATGATTTCCCTTTACAAAACCCATGTTGACTCTTCCCCAACAAATTATGTTAATCTATGTGTCTGACAATTTTGTTCTTTACTATAGTTTCAACCTTAGTTTTGCATTTGACCTTTAGTTTTTCCTGCCCTGTAAAAGTGTGTCAATACGGATTCATTGGTTCCTTGGCTTCAACTTGTGACATGCATCAACTGAATGACTAAGAACATGTATTTGACCATACTGGTTGAGTTGTTGATCTGTACCTTCTTTTTAGAAGGAGTTTCTTACTGAGCAGCAGTATAAACCAGAAGCCTTATCAGTTGAACATCTTTCTTTAAATTAATTCACCCTCTGTATTGAAAAAGTGAATAGCAAAAGAGCACAAATCTTGAAGTGCAAAATGAACAGATGAAATGAATTCTATGTGGTTCTAGCTGGCCGGTCTCCGTGTGTCTTACTGGTTAAGGAGGTAGCAGCAAAAGGGATTGGCAAAACTGCTTTATGAGGTTTCTATGAGGCAGCAGACAGAGCACCTAAGCACAGTTAGTTCTCTATTTAAACATGACAAACGTTATTCTATTAGGGCCTTTCTCATTCCCTCCACTGTCATAGGAGATTTTTGTAAAGGACTACAACCTGTCTTTATGAAATTCTTATATCAGCTAAATCTTGTGCATAAATATAGGAGAGGTCTGGCAGCTAAATTTAGACTATTAGAAAAAAGGCATAGGTCCATGGCATTAGTGGTAGCTTTCTCTGAAATGCTTCCAGTTTGATGCACAGCCCAGCTGGGCAGAAGGAGCTTGGAGGTTTCAATGCATGGTTGAGAAACTGGTGCCAAGTTTATTAGGCACTGGCAAACATTTTGGGAAAGAGGAAACCTATACAGAAGAGATTGCAGAACCCCCTACGCTCAAAAAAACCATCTTTGAAGGGGGTTAGAGCCCACAAATTCTCAGGCCCTTCCTGTTGCTCCACCTCGATTGTAGCAACTTAGAATCTATACAAGACAGCATTAGTCTCCAGGGTCCCGGAGAAGCAAATTCCATAGAGGATGGGTGAACAGGGAGAGGACTTCATTTCTATGAGCTCCCGTTGACCTGTTGTGGCTGCTGCAGTGCTGGACCACGGGGCAGCTGACGAGTTGCTCCACAACTACTGTGCCAGTTTGACCATCCCTGGGATTGGTCAGGCTGGGTAGGAGCTTCTATACTCCTTAGGATTTAACCCAGTGGGCATTTTTGCTGGAGCAAGGAGCACTGAGGAGGGCCCTAAATAAATAGTTGTGTCTGGTTTCTTGTGTAAAGAAAGTTTAAAACAATTAGAGGAAGCTGAGACAAACATTAGAAAGGGTTAAAGGAAAACTTCAGGAGTGAATTATAATTTCGTAGTTAACTAACTAAATAATAATGCTACAGCAAAGACTGAAAAGGAATTTTAAGAACTTGTCACTGTCTCTTTAGCTGATGGCGCTAGGGGGAGTTGCCATTTTATTTCACTCTGGTAATGTAGTTGATAATAGGAAATGCAACTCAGCACTTGAATACATAAGAGGGGCAGCAGATTTCTGAAAACTTGATTTATGGTAAGTTCTGTCTCCTTCTCCACACCACTTCTATCCCACAACTTCACAAACCCCTCCATCACGGTACCAGTGATTGTTACATTTCCCCAAACATCTCCCCTCTTCCAAAAAACAATACAACTTACTCTACAATAGAGTTGAGAGGCCAATTTTCATAACTCCACGCCTGAACAGAGCCTACAACATTGACTTATACAAAGCTTGCATTTATGTGCACAAAGGACACCAGGAAGATTCTCAAAGCATTGCAAAAAATCATCTATAAACTTTACATGGGAACCATTTCACCCAGCAGTGAAATGCAGCCTAGCAGTTCACTGCAGCAGTGAACAACATTTTAAGGAGAAGGGAACAAAAACGTGTCCATTTGAGAGTGCAAGGGGAATTAGGTAGGTAGAGTGTTCTGATTTGACCAGGCTACTGGGATTAACACCTCTATCCTTACAAAGAATGCCAAGGTACTTTTCAGAAGCAGTCAGGACCTCCGTTTTAAGCCTTAGTTGAAAGACAGCCGGCATTCTTAGAAGAATATTTCTTGTCCTCCTCAGCTGTGCATTTGAAAGGATTTTGCTTTTACCACCACCATTACTTTGAGAAAGGGCACAAAGCCATGTTGTGCTGCCAGTACACTGTACGGGGGAACAATAAACCAGTATCTGGTTATGAAGAGGTGAGCTGTTAACAAACAGAAAAGAAGATTGTGTTGACAGAGCAATGGCCTAGCCACATCTGGGATCAAAGTACACCGCAACAGCAGCAACAAAAAAAGCAAGAAAGCTTTGAATAAAGGGAGTTTTGAGGACAGGAGTATAAGGGAGGGGAGGGCTGGTAACAGGAGAAGCTTGTAGTGCACATGAGGCGATTACAAGAGAAGACCATCTCAGACAAAAGGGGAAGGGAGTGCTCTCAGCCCTGGAAATTCCTGAAAGCCTGAGGGAACTCACCTGGCAGTTTGGGCCAGTCTCCCTAGAATGTGGATAAGACTGTCACCATCATTCTTCAGGCTCTCAGAGTGCTTCTTGTTTGAAGTTACCTGGAATGAAAAGAAAGAATAGTTATCAAAGGCTTAGCGAGAAATTCTTCTTTGTCTTTTTTTTTTGGGGGGGGGGGGGGGGGGAGAGGGGCAGAGGAGAAAGCAGGGAGGAGGACAGAAACAAGTTACAGCAATTGTTACAGTTTTAAATGGAATGTGACATTACAGAGACCCAACAAAAGTAAACCCCTTTACTGAACAAGATTGGATTTTAACTGCAGAATGTCTAAAGTGTCTTAAACAAGATTCATTCTTGTTCTGTATCCCTGCATGTGTGAAAATTCTCAGATCACAGTCCACTAACCCTGAGTAACTGGTTTTCATTTTTACTATCAATGCAACTAAGAGCATATCCATTTATTTTGAACTTCAGGGAAAATTTCAGGACAAAATCATTTTTTCCCCCACTTGAGGGGAAAATGAACAGTCAGCCTTGTATCAGGTTAGGTTACTTATCTGGATTATAAAATGTCAGGTTTGTTATGGGCATATCGAGGAGGCTGGTTTAAAATCACTGCTTTGTGAGAATTGCTCATACAAGTTGTTCCTTCCTGATGGGACCATTACCACTTATCAGATATAAGAAACACTAAATGCACACAGCAGCATAATTACCTTACTGTCTGTACAACATAAAAATGAATGGCAAATCCTGCAACCCTTTTTATGGTGGATTAACGCTGGTTCCAGCTGACCTAGTAACGCTTATAAGTGTTGTACCTGTTTTATCACAGTGCTCTATAATGACCAGTTTACTGTTTTCCCACTCTTAAGAACTATAACTATTGATGTACCAGGAAGCTGCAAGTGGCTTTCCATTTCCTGATTAGTTAAACATGCTGATGGGAAGGTCAAAGGGTGACATGAAATGGAATCACATGCTTCGCATGGTGGACATTGAATACCTGACAAATTGCTTAAGGAGCACTATTGGTACATTCCACATACATCCCAGGAAATTACTAAAATCTGGATATGGGTTGCCACCTGCAAAGGATATAGGTTGGCCACTAACAATTCAGAAGTTACTGCTTGAAATCACAATTTTGAATCCTAAAATTTGGCAGGGAGCTGTAATGTATAACATCCCACGGCTGGCCCTATTTAACACTGATCGGGCATAGGCCGCTATGCCTATAAATATTCTTTTTTTAAAGCTAGAGAGAAGCTGTATTTACTGGTGCCACCATGCCAGAAGCTGTGCCAACATTTATCCTACTACACCAGTGTCACTTGCACTTGTAATCCAAACAGCCTATAGTTACACTATACAAAGAACGGGGTCTTCTTTGCATTAACTAAAATCTTTCCCACTAATTGGACAAAACGGCAAATTCATTACTTATGTACAAATCCATCCTCAGGTACTCATGCTACCACAAGTACTTCAGCCTTTCTACACTCTAGAGGTTTATATTAGAACATCTCAATTTACTGTTCAGTAATCCACCTCTATTTCTCATCCTCGAGATACAGAATATTTTTGTAGTTTGTGTTCTGAATTATAGAACTCTAAACAAAGATGACACACTGGACCAACCAAAATTATAAAACACTTTTCTCGCTCTTAACAGCTTTAATCACAAGACGATCCTTTCTCTTCCTTCAATCCTCTCCCTCACTCACTACATACCTTCCAACTTGTGCAACTACTGAGGCAGGGATCCACAGACACCAGCCTCATTCACCACACAACCCTGATTCAATCCCAGAGCACCAACCATCCTATGCACTGAATGAGGCAGGAGTCCTGTGGGGAAAAATGTTTGTGATCATGTAGGTAAGGCTGTATAATTATGCATATGCAGGAGATAGTTGAATTAAGGTTGCATGGGCACCATACATTCTGGCATTTCCTAACACTTGTGTGTTTGACCTTGCAATCTTAACGATCTTTTAACATAGTGGATTTTGAATGTTCAGACTAAACATGCCCAGTTTTTTTAACCTTTCCTCATATTTTATCATTTTTGTTGCTCTCCTCTGGACTCTCTCCAATTTGTGCACATCTTTCCTAAAGTGTGGCACATAGAACTGGACACAATACTCCAGCTAAGGCCTCACCAGGGCCGAGTAGAGTGGGACACTCACCTCCTGTCTCTTACATACGACACTCCCGTTAATACCCCCCCCCAGAACATTAGTATTTTTTGCAACTGCATCACATTGTTGGCTCATATTTAATTTGTGCTCTACTAGAACTCCAAGATCCTTTTCAGCAGTATTACTGCCTAGCCAATTATTCCCCATTTTGTAGATGCACATTTGATTTTTTCTTCTTAAGTGTAGTACTTTGAATTCATCTTTATTGAATTTCATCTTGTTGATTTCAGACCAATTCTCCAATTTGTCAAGGTCATTTTGAATTCTAATCTTGTCTTGGAAAGTGCTTGCAACTCCTCCCAGTTTGGTGTATCCGGCAAATTTTATAAACATACTCTCCACTCCAGTATCCACGTCATTAATGAGAAGGTCGAATAGTAGCGGATCCAGGACAAACTCCTGCAGGATCCCACTAGATACGTCCCCCCACTTTGACAGTAAACCATTGATAATCATTCTTTGAGGGTGATCTTTAAACCAGTTATGCACCTACCTTATAGTAATTTTGTCTAAACCATGTTTCCCTAGTTTGCTTATAAGAATGTCATGTGGGACTATGTCAAAATCCTTACTAAAATCAAGATATATAACCTCTGTAGCTTCCCCCATCCAGTAGGCCAGTAACTATCAAAAAAGAAAATTAGGCTGGTTTGGCATGACAAATCCATGTTGGCTGTTACTTATCACCCTATTTTCCTTTGGGTTCTTATGAATTGATTGTTTAATAATTTGTTCCAGTATTTTTCCAGGTATCAAAAGTTCAGCTCAGTGGTCTATAATTCTCTGGGTCCTCTTTGTTCCTCTTTTTATTGATAGGTACTGTGTTTTTCCTTCTCCAGTCCTCTGGGCTCTCACCCATCTGCTCCATGAGTTCTCAAAGATCATCACTATTGGTTCTGAGATTGCTTCAACTAGTTCCTTAAGTACCATAGGGTGAATTTCATTAGGCTCTGCTGGTTTTACTACCTCTAACTTATCTTAGTATTCTTTTCCTTTTCTGGCTTTTGTTCCTTCTGCTTTGTTAATATTGTGTTAAGCAACTGGTCACAATTCACTTTTTTTAGTGAAGAACTGTTAGCTTTGTTAGTTTCCTATATACATTTTAAATCGAGACCAACCAAAACAAACAAATTTAAGGGACAAATTTTCAAAGAGGCTTCAAATAGATTTGAGAAACATACATGATCAATTTTTGTCCAATAGCACCTGAGTGTACAGATTTGCCATGCAAATAGGGTTTCCGTGTCTAAATTTGATAACTGGAACACAGAATGATGTGCTTCACCCTCCATTAGGAAATTTATCCATGTCACACAACTAGCTTGGGAGAGGATCAATACTGTAACAACAGAGAAGTTGCAGATCAGGTGTGAGGTGAGTTGGCTGAGCGGAGTGCTGTAGCTTGGATAGCACTTGCCAGTATTATGGCTATCTTTTTGCCAGTACTGTCTTACTTATGACAACAAGCAATACAATTTGCTTTTGCCAAACTGGGTTTTTTTTAAAGTTAGCTTTACCAACTTTTATTGTTCCAAGAGTTGTTAGAGGGCTGCTGAGACATAAGATGTTAGATCTCTCCTAATGTAAAGGCTATGTAGAAAAAACCTGGTTGAGCTCAGGAATCATTCTTTAGCTAATAGAACCAGGACAAAAACAATTTTCAATATACTGTACTCTTATTGAAAAGTTGATGTATAATCATAATCTTTTGTCTTCTTTGTGGTTTTCAGATGACAATAAATATTAATACAATATGTATAATAAGAACATTACAAGCGTTTTTTTCACACATTTTATTCTTTCTTCCACCACACATCTCCATGTGACTTGACCTGTTCTATTTTTAAGGGTTTCATTATGTTCCTAACAAATAGTTTGAAGGTCTCTTTTAATAATGGTGTTTTGTTGTGGTGGGTTATAAGACATTGTTCAATGACTTACAATCAGTAGTTGTTCCTTTAATTAAAATTGTAATTAAATCTCAGTTTAGTTGTACATTCATTGCAATTTAATAAGAATTTCAAAATGACTTTTCTTTATGAAGCTAATAACCAAACAACAGGCTTTCTCTGTTCAATTCTATTAAGCAAAGATGAGTCATAAAGAACATCATAATTGATATGTAAATATCATTATTTCCTAAAATACAGAATAGCTGTTCAGGTAATACAATGCTGCTAATGACAAGTGCATTTAGCATGCAGGAAAATGTATGAAATACAAAAATGATTGAAAGCACTTTATTACAGTGCTAATGAGCTGAGTGAAGCCGGAGTTCTGATTTAACTCACACTGATTTTTGTCCAGTTTGATTCTCAGAACAAGACAATTGCAAAAACTGGGCATAGTTTTACACTATCTGGAAAGATAAGGAATCTTTTCTCTTCTTAAGGTCTATGGCTTCATGACACTGAACTGTTTTCTCCAATTTGTCACAACTTGCGACTTTTAATTTACGAGTCACTTCAATATCAATTAACCTCTCTTTTGAAGGGGATGGCTTTCTCCTGCCATGTTCAGGTTTAAAGTGAGTTGCAAGCTTGCTGTCTGTGTAGGAAAATTATATTGATATGGTGAGAAAATGCAAAATTGTTAATTGGGTAAACAAAGAGGGGCCTTTTCACACTAAAAACTTATTTGACCAGCTTTTTTTTTAAATCAGAAAGTAAGCAAGACCCCAGAACCATATTCAGATGCACTCAAATTATCTTCACAAGTATGGATATTATGCATGCAAATAATTGCAAATACAAACAGATATTTAGGTGTCTAAGTACTCATTTCTGTTGCCAAATGACTGATTTTCACAAGTCATTGCAGTAATTGCATACAGAAATATAAGTGCACCATTGCACATGCACCTTGGACTTCTCTTTTTACCAGTTTGGCACTTTACG